GTTCTGGACCGAACCTCTTTTTGTTTCGCTCCCTGGTCCAGTTCCTGCTGCTGCTTCACTTCAGTCTGTTTTAATGCGTCTGTTGTGTTTCTGCTGCAGGAAACAAAAAGACGACAAAACACACGAGGAGCCGCAAAAGTGGAAATAAAACAAAGCGACCTTCAGCTGCAACCAGAACCACAGTCTGGGCTCCGCTCACTGCCACACACACACAGAGAGGGAGGGAGGGTGTGTGTGTGTGTGTGTGTGTTATTGTGTGTGTGTGTGCGTGTTACTGTGTGTGTGTGTGTGCGTGTGTGTGTGTGCGTGCGTGTGCCTGTGTGTGTGCCTGTGTGTGTGTGTGTGTGTGTGCTGCAGAGGGATTTCCAGTCGTCCCAGTTCAGGGAATTCCCTCCATCCCAGCAGAGCAGTGTGCGGGCGCGGTCAGAGCGACACCAAGAGGACAGAGGAGGAAGTTCAGCCTGGATTCATGTGTGTTTGGATATAAAACACGTTTGTGGGCGTGAAGATGATTTGATTTGTGGAAAATTAAAAGTGACCCGAGTTTTATTTTCTGCCTTTAAAAGCAGAATCAGAACAAGTCAGTGAAGACGTTGTAAGGTTCGACTGATTCACTTTATTGATGATGTTGATGAGCGACTCCGACAGGATCGTTCATGTTTGACTCAAACTGTGAGTTTATTGATATCAGTATGAAACATGTGAGTGAATGATTGGTTCTGATCGTTCAGCTGCTTCATCATCAATGATTTCATGAGTTATTAATTGATTTAATCCATTTCAGTTTAATCATTTCTACAAACGTTCAGCGTCGTTAAATCAGCAGCTTCATGTCTGAACTGATTATCGGTGAGTTTCTCTTCAGTCACAGGATGAAAAACAGCAGAAAGGAAGAACATTAAATCACAAGATTGAGGAAAAAGCCGACAAATGTGAGAATTAAATGTAAGAAAAAAGCTGCTCAACGAGAGAAATCAAAGTCCCACAGTGACTCCATTGATCTGTAGACAGCAGAGGAAACCAGAGGTCCAACCAACCAGAGGTCACTGACAACAGCCGACTGGTTCTGGTGGAACGTTCATCAAACATCAAATCACCGTTTCGGACTGCTGCTCTCATCAATACATGTGATCAAGTTCAGTTCTCCTCATTTCTGTCTGATCAGGAAGTGACCAAACACCAGACGGATTATAGTTTTTCGCAGAAAGTTTTCACCTTCAGAATAAAAGTCTCTCTCAGCACAAACAGAGGACACCGTTGGACATCTGGAGCCGCCAGTCAGAGCTGCATTAATTAACCTCCGTTGTTAATTAATTAAAGGCACGTCAACTTCAATTAGCACCAATTAAAGAGCTGCAGACACTTTAATTGACCCTGATGGACCAAAACCTGCCTCATTGTTCCAGCTGTCTGCTGCCTGTCAGACCAGACTGAGGGTTTAACTTCCTGTCAGACCAGGCTGAGGGTTTAACTTTAGATAATTTTCTTTATATTTAATTATTGTTTTTCCAGGAGTTCTAATAGCTCTGTGTTTATTGAATATTTAACATGTGTTTATCCCTCCATCATCTCTACAACTTCATCCTCACCAGGGTC